ACACACAGTGTCTGGTATCCCCTATCATGCAAAATAGCCTTTAATTTTATATATAACTGATTTGGCAGAGAGATGACAAATAGTTCATCTCCAAAGAATTTGAATAGTAATCTACATTTACCACGTATTCTTTGTCTGCCCAGCTAAACAAGTCCACATCTACTTTTGCCAAGGTTTCTGTAGAATATCATGTTTTTACAGTATTTCTTTGGGTTAGTGGTCTTCCCAGGATCTGCACATGTTTCTTAAACAATAAACAATTTTTAATAAATATTTAATTAAGAAAAAAATCAGAAAATACCTTCATTCACCTTTGTTCCTGTGGCACAGTTGCTTCACTCAAAATTAAGTCAAAGACAAATAGAAACTAATAGACATTAATGAGCAGTAATATTTTAAAAAATTCCAAATCAAAGTAATTTTGGAAGTATCCATTATTTTTAAGAGAAAATCATGCTTCATTTTGGCCACCCAAAGTTTAAGGCAATGATCTAAGGAACGTGTGCATCTACAAGGTCAAGAGCTATGGAAATTGAGTATTCTTGGACATTTTCTCTGGCACCAGCTTTGACAAGATAAAGGAAGATTATTCAACATCTCTTTCCCTCTTTCTCATGTGTATACATATGCAGCATCTTTGGATTTGGCTGAACGGTCCAAACTGAGGGAATACTTGTTGACAAATAAGCTCTATTCTGCTGAATGTATGTATATTTTTGCAGTTGCTACTAAAGTATAAATAACAGCTATCCATAAATTAAAGGGAAAATATGCACCAAGAAGCAGAAAAGGGAGGACAAGCAAAATGTTAAAAGATATTTTATGCTGTATATCAGGTTATGTCACTCTCTCTAGGAGCAAACTGAGTGGCACCAACAGGTTTGTAGCCAAATGGAGTCACTAAGGAACAAAAGGGAAATGTTGCCATGTCAGGGGAAACCCAAGTTTTTGTAGAATAAAATAGAATAAAATAAAATTCCTCCTAAGGAGCAGCACCCTTCCCCAAAGAGTGTCATGACATCTGAGCATGCTTGCCGGTTGTGGGATGTTGAACAGAAAGGAAAATGTGCATCTGTGGAGTTCTGGAACAGATTCAATGTTCCTAAAGAAGGACATAGTTGGCTGGAACCTGGGACAGAAGCCTCCTTAAAGGATGCAAGACTACACTGCAGCATTGCAATACAGATGGTAACCATGATTCATGGACATGAAAATGTTCAAAAATGCATTTTCCTGCACCCAGATCGTTCTAATACAACTTGATACACCCAGTAGATGTTATCGGGTGCAGCCTTGCTGAATGCTTTAGAGGAGGCTGTAAACTTTAGGTAACATAAATATTTTACTATTCGTTTTTTTCTCTTCCTAAGTTCAACTGTGACTTCACTATTGTGTTTAAACGTGCATACTTTTACAGAGTCTTTAAAGATGAAAGAGACTGATGTGCAAATAAAATAATAGCTTTTCATATCACTGTAAACAAGACTCAGGAAAAACATAAGCTTTTGAGGACTAATTGTATTTGACAGGCTGTCAAAGCCAGTTCCTAATTTCTAAAACATGCCCATGAGTGTATAAGGAGGGCCAGGAAGACAGACGGGCTTCTGGGAGATATACCCATACCAAGGAGAAAAACCCATGGTTTATACAGAGAATGATGCATCATACATAATCATACAGCAGTGAGTCAGTCAGAGCACGATCCTATGAAAACTCAAGCAGAAAAGGGGCCTCCAAGTTCCAGCATGCTTTGGCCAACACGGCCTTTTTCTGTCTAAACAGGTACAGGATTGTGCCTTTAGTCAATATACCTGAACCCACTATATTTATTGGGCAGGTTCACATGCTTAGGAAAGGAAGTAAGTCAATGTACTTTATTTTCCCTCTCCATATCTGATAACTGCACCACCAAATTACCATAATGTGGTGGGGGGTGAGGCCCTTTTACAAGCCAACCCACACCCTAGAAAAATCATGGGTTCTAGGGTGGTTTGTCACCTCCCTCATCCTTGGGGAAGGTCACCATGAGAACTGCATGACTCAAACACATGGCACAGGAAAATAAGCCAGGGTGGTATTTTTCTTCCCCATTTGGGTAAATCAGGTCATTGTAAACTGATTAACATCCCAAAAGTGTCTCTGTGGAATCTGAGATACACTAAAGGATGCAAGGGGCTGTAACTAGGCTGATGTTGTTGTTGTTGTTGTTAGTAGTGGTGGTGGTGGTGGTAATGGTGGTAGTAGTAGTATTTTCAGTTCTATACCATCCCACAGGCAAAGCTCTCTGGGCAATTTACAGCAATCCATAAAACAAGATAATAAAATAGCATAAAAACAGTGAAACATATCATAAAAAGCCGTCCCGAGGCTATGTAGCAAGGGGATGGCATATAAAAACTTTAAATAAATAAAATAAAAAATAAAAACAGTGAAACATGAAAAAAAAAGCTAAAAACAACAACCAAGAAGAATTTTGTAAAATATTTGGCATAGGAACTACACACATCCAGAGAGCCCACGCAGGGCTTTAGGCTCAAGTTTATAAGAAAGCCCTCCCCCTTGCTGTCATCCTCCAAACCTCCCTTGGCGCTGGCACTCAGAAGAAGGCCTGTGAGATTGAGCATCATGTCTGAGTAGATCACAGCTGGGAGGAGCACTCTAACAGGTACAGCATCTGCTTTGTGTGAGGAAATCCCCAGATTCAATCCTGCCGAAAGCTTCCACCTGACACCTGGGAGAGCCACTGCTAGGCAATGGCAGACTGAGGATGCTACTCAGTACAATGCAGCTTCCTCTGTTCCTAACTAGCTTCCTTGCTGAAGCTATAATCCAACAAACCTTAGTTCAGACGTCATCAAACCCTATGTAGCCTATTTAAATTGACTCTATGAAGCTGAATTGTTATGTTTTCCTATTTTATTATGTGCCTTGCCTTTCTCTTGCCACATGTATTATTTCCTAACGTACCACAGAAGAGGGTTACTGTCTCTATAGCTTTGCTTTTCAGGAAATGAATAGACACACTGGCTTCAAGCGCCCTGGTGTGGTAGTCCATGATGCCCATGGCTTGAAGAACTTTTGGGAAGAAGTAATTGAATCATACACCAAGCAAAAAGAGATGGAAAATTCACGATTAAGCAGAAGTGCTTTGAGCAAGTGAGTGGCTTTATTTGCCCCGCAAGCCGTGCTGCAAAAGAAGGCAGCATCCGCTCTGAAACCATCATTTGTGTCACTTTGGCCCAATGAGCATTCTGGTGACTTCCCTCACTCCATAGTTCAGCAATGGAATAAGCCTCACAGGAGAGGCAGAATTTATTTTCTGAGAGGTTTGTCCTAAGGCAGGCAGTGGGCAACATAAATTTTCCTCAACCTGCCTCCTCTTCAGTTGTTTTGAATTTAAATGCCCATCAGTCCCAGCCTGCAAGGCAAACAGAATGCTGCAAGCTGTGGTCTGTAACATCTGAAGGGCACTTGTTTGAGAAAGGCGGCATTAGACAATCCACACATACCTTCCCCGGACTATCTCTAGTGAGTCGTTTTGCCCATTTTTTCAGCATATCCATGTTTCATTCAGATTTCTGCAGCGCTAAAAATGACAGACGCAACTACCCATCCTGTTATTTTTTGACAAAGATCTTGGAAGATGGCAACTTCAAAGTAAAGATGTAGTTATGTATAGTTGTATATAGCATGCCTGGCATATGGAGAAAGTGTGTAGATTTCCAGCTAAATACTGCATCCATTGAAACGAATCCATTTATGTTGGTGAGAAGAAATGCATTTAAGTCGCTACGACATTTCTAGATCTGAGCCTATTTCAAAATAGCTGCCAAAGAGTCTGCGATTTCCAAGAACTAGTACCTTTATGTCACTATTTTATATCACAAACATAGCAACTTAATGCATAGAATTGCAGTATTTTATACAGTGCCAGTCCTGTGACTTGGAGTGGTGATATACAAACAGCTTGATCCTACGAACAATTAACCAAAGCTAAGTGCTTAATCCCGATTAAGTTTGCACAAGATAACAGTTTTAGTTTTCTTAATATTATTGTTAGATGTATCACAATTTTCTAAGAAATAAGAAGTTCTAGGTATGCAACACCGACCCGGGTTTGGTTTGGTTTCCTTCAGAAGATCACAGGAGAATTCTATTACTTTGTGATATTATTAATTAATGTATTTATTTACAAATGCATAAACTGAGCACGAGTAGGCGCTCAAGATAAAACGCTTCAGCAGATACCCCCAAATCCAGTGTTCCTAGGGAAATTGCCAGTACCACAATAATGCTGTTTGGACTTAATGAAGGGGGATAAAAAAACGAGAATAAAGTTGACCTTTGACTCAAAACCAGAAGAGAGTCAGAAAGCGAAGTCCTGGGCGGGAAATTTCTTCTTCTTTTCACACCAAGATTCCTTCCTCATATCCTCTTTGGCTGAATTGGAGGTCAGGGAGCAATATGCTAGCTATTTCAAAGGCCAACTGTTAAGAGCGATTAGCTAATTATATAGTTTCCTTGGCAACTGATCCCCTGTGATTTACCTATCAAAGGAATATGCCAACTAGAATTGGCCTCCCTTTTGAGCACGTTACTAATTCTAGTTATGTCCAGATCCCAGTCTTGGAATCAGAGAGTTGGACAGGACCTCAGAGATCAGCTAGTTCAACCCCTGTTCACAATCCAATTTATTCACCAGTAAACAGTGCCTTTGTCCAGTTTTCCTTGCTGTTGTTTCCTGTGCATGCATTCTCCGACTTTTCCAAGACAGAGCTTGTGTGCTTCATCCAGTGAATACCCAGAGGAGAAGGCAGCATGTATCTCTAATGACAGCATTTTCCCAGTTGTTTGACTCCTCTGGAATCTATCAATGTCACCAGGTTTCACAGTGAGGATGAGTTATACCATTGGATTCTTTCGGTGTCCTAAACCAGAAGGCCAGAGAGATACCTATACTAAATTAACACAAGACAAGTGCATCAGTGATGAAAGAAAAGGGACAGCTTTGGTATCACTTAAAAGAGCTAGACATCTGAAAAATTTGGCTAAGGGTTCACTGATGAGAACATTTGTTCCTCATTTCCAGGCTCCGACATGAATGGGCGCAGAGGCTGGAAGGTCGAATAAAGATGCTGAAGAAGACCAGTGAAAAGCCAAATGTGCACACGAGCCTACTGCCAATTGAAACTTTACAGCCAGTGCATAAAACAGCAGCCTGAATCACTGCAGAAATGTGAAAGCATGTCTTTTCCGAGCACTGACTGGACGTAATTTTGTTCTTGGGTACACTATACTGAATACAGACAGAAATGTCAATGATATCTAAGTTCTAAATGAACTGATAAGAGATAGGTCAGGCTCAGATCATGCCTTCTTCTGAAGTTCAGTCAGTGTAGATCAGATAATAGTAAAATAATTTATATTATCTCTTAAAACATTATGATAAATTCTCAATGATGTGTTCATATGTCTCTGTACTCAGAATTACCTTGCTGCCTTCTTGCATTATTCAGGTGACAGCAGTCTTAGGAATGAAAACTACTCTTTAATGGGTATAAAATGATGGTGATGATGAATGAACATAGTGCTTAATTCTGGCTAATACATTTCCTTGGGATCCTTTCCATGATGCTTTTCCAAATGTTTGGGATTTTTGAGAAACACCTTCCATTCTAAGAAAATGAACAATCTTCTTGCAGATCTGTGTTGGAAATAATCACCCTTCCACTATATGTATTTATCTTTCCCATTGACCTCCCTTCCTGCTCCCAAATAGATTGCACAGTGAAAAAATTGTTCAGAAATATCTGTTTTCCACATTGGGATGTCAAATATTTTTTCTACGGCATTACTGTAGATGAGCTATAGGCATGACTCCACTTCAGTTCCTAGCTTGTTACAGTGGTGATTATAAAAGAACCACCCCTTCTTTAATTTTTAAAAAGCCAGACCAAAACAACGGACTTTTCAATTCTATGCATGTCTACCAAGGCCACTCTTCCCATCAGACAGGGCGACTGCCCTCCTCCCATGGCAGACCAGCAGGATGGTAGATCCCTCCTATGCCCCGAGGAGGATCCCTGCAGCCATTCCCACCATCGCCCCATTGCTGCTTGTCTGTTGGGGAAATGCACCAACAGGCTCCTTGGTGGAACTGACACCTCGCCCCCCTCTCTTGCTCTGAGCCTTCTTGCAAAACAAGGGACCAGCATCTGGAGAACTCACTTGCCTGCTCTCTTGCTTTAGGGGAAGACTCATAGCGAGAGACGGCCTTCTTGTCTCCATGCCCACCCACCCAATCTCTTACTTTGGGAGAGATCAGGGGGCTGAGCAGCCTCTCCAGAAAGTCCACCTGCTCAATCGCTCACTGTGGAGGAGGGCACCTGCGGCAGGGTCATGGTGGGCATCCTACTGCCTCTGGCAGAGGGTATCTTGTCTCCTCGCCAATAAATCCCATTGAGTGAAATACGATTGCATTCAGTCCCTTCTGATGCATGAGAATGTGTTGTGAAACTAAAAAGAAAGCTCACCCAGAACTTCTGTTGCCACTACTTATTCAGAACTAAAGAGGTATTTGAAGGTAAGGAAATAAAATTAAATTCTTTGAAAATATAGCTAATCACTGTGAGAGAGCAGGAAAGTTACTATACTCTTTTATAAAGAAAAGCAATTTAGCCTTGCTGCCTTAAGGGAGATGGAGCAGTCCACATAAATATATAAGCCTGTTTGTAAAGAAGGGTTTTATTTTACACAGTAGGAAACTCATAAAGGAAGACTCCAGTTTCAACTTCTTTACAATGTTCCAACTAAGATGTTATTGTCTTATTAAAATACTTATTATTTAGGTTGCCACATGCACCAATAGATACTTTGCTTAATTTATTTTTGGGAGCGGGATTGGTAATAAGGTGCTGAATGTCATCGGTACAGCTTAGGAAAGAAACTATACTTTATTTGGTATAAAATGGTGGTGATGGTGATAATGAATGAAGATAGTTTTTTATCTGGCTAATAATTTTCCTTGTGGCTTGTCCTTACCTTGAGATTTAGTTGCCTAGTGAGGAAAGCAGAAGGTCCATTTGTCTGCAGATCAGGAGAACTAAGCAACAAGGAGTCCAACAAAGCCAGAACTACAAGTGGAAGTTCAAGCAGCAGCATCAGGGCCACCAAGAGAAGGCTGGTATGGCTCTTCCGCAAGGTGGTAACTGAGGGTATAGTAAAAGTGGGGTCAGAAGTCAGGCAGAAGATCTAAGCTAGGTCAGGAGTACACAGAGAGTTGAGGCCAGGCCAGCCATGAATGGGAGAGGGTAAGAAGAGCAGGTGACCAGGAAAAGGCAGTGCAAAGGGGAAAAGGAAGAGAGAAACTTGGTGCTTAGTGAGAAGAGCTTCTCAGGCAGAAGAGCAGGAGGAAGTTTGGAATATGCAAATATAAGGTAAAATGTCACTAGTTATTAGAGTCACCTTACAGGCTCTAAGACAGTAGGACTTACTTGGGTGTGTAGCAGGCAATAGCATTATGTCTGTGGTGCCTCAGGTGAGCTATTTGTCCCGGCAACATTCAAGGTTGGGAATGAACCGGTGCCGTATATCTGCAGTGCCATCTTTGCTGCAGATCTAGCATCTGACCACAGCAGTCTTTGGTTCAAGGTGCACAACACTTAGGCAGTAAAATAATATTTGGAATGAGGGGGGCGTTTAATGTCTAAAGCCATCAGATGCTGATCTGCAACAAATATTAGGTAAGCAAATCACCCACCCCGTCTCCCCAGATAATCTCATTGCTCAGCACAACACAGCAGTCTTCCTTTTATCTTCCTCTTGCCACATTATTCTGTCATTCTAAATTTTCCTGAAAGTGAATATCTTGTTGATATGGTCACTGAATGCTACAAGAATTCAGTATTGGTTGAGCTGTGGTTAGCATTAAGCCATGGGTTACTCTTGAAACCTGCATCTCATCTGGATCTTGCTCAGATAACAATCCATTGTTCACAACCCTTCATGGACTGTTCAGGATTGACAAGGCTTGTTCGCATACTTGGATTTAGTTCTAATTCTATTTAAAATTCTAATTAAAATTCCATTGCGTGATACAGAATTACATAAATTAGTACAGTGTGGAAGTGCTATTTTCCTCATCTGTTCTATCCATTAATTTGTCAGTGTCAGTTGGCTCAGTTTTCATTTTTGAAAATGTCTTGCTGTACAAGATAGCCCACATTTCAGGAACAACCCACGTTTCCACAAGAGTCCACACTCAACCCATGCTCAACACTGAAGTGTGGATTATCTCGTTGTCCAGACACAGCTACTGTGTCATCACCAGTGCTTCACTTCCCTGGTCTGGGGTTAGCCTATGTCTTGCGCAAGGCATTCCACTACGCTGTAGGCTGATTTGCGCATTATCACAGCATCCTTTGAGCAAGGATGGGGTAAAGCCAGAGGCCACAGTAAAAATGCTGGGATTTTCATTAGAATCACTATTATAACCTGCCACTCCACTCAGTCTTCCCTGTTTTCATTATAGTATATTTCAGTTGAAAATTAGCATCAGATATGTGAAGGGAAAGTTGCAGCTTGGAACAAACTCAGGAATGCAGTTTATGCAAACCTTCATGTGAAACTATACAGAGTGCTATGTGGTGCCCTGAATTCCCCCCCCCCCCCCCGTGCCTCTATATACAAGACACATTGCTGAGGATCCGCTCATCTGGCCATCCCTATTGCATTGATTCTACAGAATGTGTATGTATTCATACATGGCTGTACTGTCCCATCCTTTAAGTCAAGTATTATGACTGACATGTGAGTCTGAGGTTTGGTTTTTTACCATAGGAATAGCACCAAGTTTTCTCCTTGCTACCGGTTATGGGTGGCATTGCTCCACTAAAGGCATAGGGCATGTTGTCAGAAGCATTGGTCAGCTTCGGTAGAAAACCTGCCTCTAAGACATAGAACCTGTCTGCATGATCACCACAGCCCACCATGGCTTGTTTAATCTATGGTAGATTCTGGTGCTTGCTAGTTGCCATTTCAAATATCCAAGCCACAGCAGGTGGATTCCACGGCTTGATATATCATATAGGCCCAGGCATTGTGGGTTATGCAGAGGTAAAACAACCCTTGGATAACCCTAGAACAGCCATGGTTTGTTTCACCCTCACATAACCATGATCTCCAGGGATACACAAGATGACAAGCCATGGCACATACATGCCGTGGCTTGAATATTCATAAGGGTGGCCAGGACACCTTGTGAAGCTGTGCATGACACTGAACCCATGTGATGTGTGAAAAGGTACATTTTAGATTGTGTGACTTCATCCTGGGGATCAAATCAGGCATGCTGAATGCATGCTGGCAACTATGTCAGTGCGAGGGACCTGATTCTCATTGGGATCACAGTGCATGAGGAGAAGTTTCACTCGTGCTCCTCCTGCCCCTCTGCAATTCAATTAGCCTTAGGTTAAAAAAATAAGCTTATTTGGGCACTAATGGAAGGTCTTTTCACTCTAAGGTTGATTGAGCTTGCGCTTGGAGAAGGAAGGGTTAAACTTCAGTTCCACTGCAGCTTTACTTCCCTTCCTTGTGTTTGCAATTCAATAAAGAAGATCCTAGATTTATTGCTAGCCAAGCATTTAACATAGTACACACTTCATATACTTCAGCCCTAAGATAATTTAACACACTGATCCTGACTGAGGCATGGGTCGGAAAGAAAAAGGGTAGACGGGCTCTACTTCCCAAACCCTGCTGGCTCAGCTAACCCCGGGCAAACAGAAAGAGGGGAGCAGACTGGAACCTTTCCTTTCCTCCAGCAGCTTCTCCAGCTACCAGGGAAGGCATATTCTCTGACCAGTGTTTCCTACCAAACAGAAATGACAAGTTCTTATCTCATTCTGGGTACCTTCAAACTAAGCATCTTAGTATCCCATCGTCCTGCCTCATTCATGTAAGTTCACAGGGGATCCAAAGAATGACATCTTCTATTCATAACCCCCATTTTCCTACTCCTTTTCCCATCTTTGTTCTTACCACAGAAACTCCATTAAAGGTGCAATCCCATGTACACTCGAGCAGAAAAAGGCCCATTATGCCTGAGACAGCCCAAATATCTCAGATGGCTTTTTCTGTCTGAACAGGTATAGGATTTCACCTGAAGGGGAAAGAGGGCACTATGGCTGCACAGCTATTTTGTCTGGAAAGATGCTCCATTTTATCATGTGAGCATTGTTCCACAGATGCTTAGCAAGACAATGTTTGTCCAATTGAAATGTTGTATTTAGTTCGATCATTTATATGGTAAGTACCAAGGCAGTGATGGCACCAGTACATATTTCCCACCTTTAAACACTTTCTGAATGCCATGAAAAAGCCCACCACAAGTAAATTGAGCTAGTGCTCTCTCTCTCTCTCTCTCTCTCTCTCTCTCCCCCTCCCCCCCCCTCTCTCTCTCTTCAAGGCAGATGAGTAACATCTACAATGATAGAGCAGGTAACATCATGGTTTGCTACTCACGAGCTTCTAGTCCACACCATTACACTGATTAAGGTTAGGATAGTTCACCCAGGCTTTTCACAGCTATCTCAACAGCGGAGTAATAACATGTTTCAAAAATGATTCTTTCTTATTTAGAGTAGTTGTACAGGATTGTGCTGGCTTTGTATTAAGTTAGGATCCTTGAGAAAGCTCATGTATCATGGATGACTGCGGACCGCTGATTGCAGATAGATGCAGGAGGACCCCTTGAGAATAATCACTAGTCAAAAAGTCCCCCAGGAGCTGACTTTACAATTTAGATTTTTGAGTTAGCTGACAGATATGAAAAATTACTTATGCTGTAAACAGACAACCTACTGTTAAAAACACTGAAGAGTCTCAGGAGCATTATTTATTCTTCCGAGTACCTAGAATACATTTTCCTATTAATCAGGTTCTTGATAACATTCATTACAGCCAGTTGTATGCCTGCAACAAGTCTGTGAAGGCCTAAATGGCACTCATTTCTAATCAAAAGGCAACTCCAGAGGTTTTTCGAGGGCATCCATGGTAAATCTGATTCTCTCGCTCTTGCGCTCTCTCTCGCTCTCCCCTGCACTATACATACACATCAGAAAAAGTACAGACAGTTTTCCATTACATTATCTATATGGAACCCTGAAAATATTTTAAGGTGAGGTGGAGAGATATTTGGGCTGAATCAGCTCCTGGCAAGCACACTGGGGGACATGTTCCTGCGAGGGGCAGGACCGCATCCCAAAATGTGCCAGGTGACCCAAGGATATGATGGCCCAGCCATCACATGGATGCACACATTGCTCCTCACCCCACAATCTCACTTTTTAAAAGTGTGGCTGCAAGGGCAGGGGGTGATTTTCAAGTGGGAGTTGCAGTGATGGGGGATAGGTGGGGTAGCCCTTTTCTCCCCAGCAGCCACCCCCTGAAAATGTCCGTAGAAACACACACACACTGCAATTAGGCTTTTAAAAGACCTTCATTGGAATGAATGGAAGTTTTTGAGAAGCCTTTACAGGCTGGGCAGGGACTGGAGAAACAGCCCTATCTCTAATCACTGCTTGGAGTCTGATCAATGGGGAAGCTGATGGGCCGGAGGGGGACCTCATCTGGCCTCTGGTAGGTGCATGAGGCAGAGATTCCCCACCCCTGTTTTAAAGACACAGTGCTGAAGTTTGCCTTTCACAGTTCTGTTGACGGTGTCCAAGCGAAGTTATTTTTTGCTCCTTGACAAATAATGCTATAGCATTATGTTCATCTGGAGTTGGGCATTAAAAAGGTAGCCATGTTGAGGGTAAGAAAAATTCAAAAATCCACCCTAGCGTAATAAAGGTGTTCCACTG